TTCATAAATTTAATAAATATTTTAATTGGAATACATACCCTAGAAGTAAACGCTGCCCAACATATTATGGATGTTGATAGTGAACTCTCCGAGGGTGTTGGTTCGTTGCGTATGTCCTTGCGGGAACGACCCCGCAAGCAACAGTCGGACCGAAGGCTACGCGAACGGTCCGAAGACCTGAAGTTCCTGGAGGATTTCGATCCAGAAAAATCAAACCGCGAAAAACGTAAGCTAAAAAGAAAACTAACTAATCCTCGATCAACTGTTTACGATGAATATGGTCATATGCGTCATAATGGCATGGACGTATGCGACTGTTTGGATGAGAACTGTCCTGGTTGCTGGTATGAGTGTAAAAACTGCGGCTCAACGCGTTGTGGGGTACAATGCAGGGTGAATAGAAAGCAATTTGTGGATGAAATCACGTTTGATGGCAAAGATGTCGTAATTAAAAATAAATTTACATCGTAATTGCTAAGGAACTGGCCTTTTTAAGTAGAAATATCATGATTTTTCATTTCAGTTGTACAAGGCTGTTTGTAATTATTCCTATGTTCGATCAGTAAGAAAATAAATCTTTTCACAACGGTTTTTATATTTAAAATACCGTAAGTTCAATAGTACTTCTAATATCTGGAACATAGTGTTACACTTACATACATATATCTGTGTTCGTATGGAACAGTAGCTTATGTCGAAAGGACTGCGGCATTCGCAGCATACGATTGCGAATGACTCACTGGCGCCGAGTCATTGAAGAACTTTTGGCAAATAAACGTGCAGAAATAGTTCCGATACTAGCAAGTCAATATTCTTACTAAGTCCCATCAAAACATTCCTTGTCGTTTAAAGAATAAGGGGAATTCCGCATTATACTAAAGCCAGCTTTTCGACATAGGCTACTATTCCATAATATTTTTTTTTTACCGACTTCTAAAAAAGGAGGAGGTTATCAGTTCGTCGGAATATATTTTTTTTATGTATGTTACCGCATAACTGGGACCACGTCAACCGATTTCGATAATTTTGCATCGGAAAGGTAGTGTCTCAGAGGTGGGTCCATACTAATCTGGTTTAGATCCGATAATTAGATCATGAGATATATATATATATTTTTTTTTTTATGAGAATTGAAGTCGGTTTTTTGTGCTAAAAACTACTTGTTATAAATTGATGTAGGGAATGTGAAATTCGATGAAATCCATCATATAAATCAAAAAGTGAAAATCAAATTTTTTATTAGTTATGACTTTTTGCATTTCAACGATGGTGTTTGTNTCCATACTAATCTGGTTTAGATCCGATAATTAGATCATGAGATATATATATACATATATATATATATATATATATATATATGTATATGAGAATTGAAATCGGTTTTTTTTGCTAAAAACTACTTGTTATAAATCGATGTAGGGAGTTGTAATTCTATGAAATCCATCATATAAATCAAAAAGTGAATTTCAAATTTTTTATTAGTTATGACTTTTTGCATTTCAACGATGGTGTTTGTTACGTCTTTTAGCATTTCAGGTGACGATATGTAAGTGAAAGAATTTCAATTCGGTCCATGCAATTCGATATAGAAAGCGAAAGAAAATCGTCCGTAAAGGAAATCCAGCCCAAAATAACTAATACATTTACTTCAATAGTACAATCCAAAAATTACAAATATTGAGTTATGTACGCTTAAATAACCGCTACTTCTTCTATGTTGTGCGAAAATTGCATAGATGCATCGATTACCAGTAGTCCACTGGAACAAAATATGNAGCATTTCAGGTGACAATATGTAAGTGAAAGAATTTCAATTCGGTCCATGCAATTCGATATAGAAAGCGAAAGAAAATCGTCCGTAAAGGAAATCCAGCCCAAAATAACTAATACATTTACTTCAATAGTACAATCCAAAAATTACAAATATTGAGTTATGTACGCTTAAATAACCGCTACTTCTTCTATGTTGTGCGAAAATTGNCACTTCAATAGTACAATGCAAAAATTACAAATATTGAGTTATGTACGCTGAAATAACCGCTACTTCTTCTATGTTGTGCGAAAATTGCATAGATGTATCGATTACCAGTAGTCCACTGGAACAAAATATGTATTCGTTTTTTCCACGAAAGTATCTGTTAACTAAAACTTTAATCGTCGCCTGGGTAAACGATTGTCGTATGTTAATTTCGGCAGGTTGTGNTACTTCAATAGTACAATCCAAAAATTACAAATATTGAGTTATGTACGCTTAAATAACCGCTACTTCTTCTATGTTGTGCGAAAATTGCATAGATGCATCGATTACCAGTAGTCCACTGGAACAAAATATGTATTCACTTTTTCCACGAAAGTATCTGTTAACTCAAAACTTTAATGGTCGCCTGGGTAAACGATTGTCGTATGTTAATTTCGGCAGGTTGTGGGAAATCGCGATTGAAGCTTTCAATATTTCGGAAACTAAAGGAGATATCTAAAACTGATAACACCAATCGAAAGACCTTATTTCAAAATATATAACTGCATCTAGAACTAAAAATCGTCAAAATGGCGCTTACGACAATATTTTACCCAGGCGACGGTATATCTGAAAATTGTTTCTATTTGATTTGTTTTTCAATCGTCCATCTCGCGAGTAGAGCTGCAAAACTATCGATGGTCCATAGTTTCGATAGTGCTGGTGTATTGACATTTTGTGATCTTTACTTTAATAAGTGACGCTGTGAATTGAACAAAGGAAGATATTTAGAATTTCGCGTTTAAGATGTAATATTTATACTGACATATGTGTAATATTTATATTAACATATGTATATATTATACACATTTTATTCGGAGTTGAAGTTTCTCTACATATACAGCACGATAGTATACGATACTATCGAAATACCGGTACTATTTTTCAAACTACCGAAACTATCAATGGCTGGCGTCACTATCGATAGCTCTATTCGCGGGTATATAAATAGTTGAAGCAATGCTTAAAATATACTCACGTCGAACTCATTTAAGGGTTAAGGGCACTAATTTAGAACATCTGGTAGCACTGTGTTTCGCTCTTGTGCTATCAGCTGATGATTTTACGTTTGTTTATATCCGATTCGCTGATTACTTATCAAAGTGCCTTTTTGTTTTATATGTGCCATATCGATTTTCGTAGGTCTTTGTTAAGAATCTGTATTGTGTACAGAAAAAACAGACGCAGCCTGACGTGAAGTGAACTAATCGACAGATACACGTGTGTGAGTAAACGCACAGAAATACATTTTACCAAAAGCTTTTTGTTATTCATGTTGGGATAAAGTCGCTCGGTACGAGGTCCGAATAGCCAACGTCTATCAAGTTCTATCTATATAATACATTATAACTTTAAATAGTGGGTTTACTATTAAAAAAGTTCAGACATGTGTAATAACAACATTGTACTACAGTACGCACCCCTACAATCTTTTGTAAATCCAAATTTTTGGCACAAATTGTCGGAAATCAAGTTAAATCACGACCGACTTTCGGATGCTCCTAAACCAATATTTGGTTACTATACTAATTTCAACGCAAAGGCGTGTCTTCTCGAAACAGATTACTCCGCTTTCAATGGGTAAGTACATACATACATACATACATACATAGTTTGAATGAGCAATAATTACTTACCCTGTATCTACTATCATAAAAACAACAGCGACTTCACGGTACCAAGGCAATGCCACACTGCTGTCGGCACTCTCTACAATAAGAACACAATTGAAGACTTTAAAGCGTGTGATAAAAATGAATTATTGCAAATAGAGGGAAGAAAATTAATAGAGGATTTTCGCGCTGACCGCGTACTGGAGGACCCCAAATTGCTAGCCCGTTTCTTCGTGCTTTCATTTGCGGTAATCATCACAAGTAGTGGTATGACGTCACTTGCCTTATTCGAGTGACCTAGATAGGATTTTCCAGGTTATTTAGGTCTGCGCAGACAAGTGACCAATCCTTAAAAAAACAGTTGTTTAGCTAATACCCTTCTACCTCACACTAATTTCTATTTTTAAATATTTCTGAACAGGACCTTGCCACCTACAATTACTACTATTGGTTTGCCTTTCCTTGTCCACTGACGCCAACTTTAAAGATTCCGAGTGATTCGGGCCCAAAAATATTGTCGGACATTCCAGAGTTGGAGCATTTAAATAGTTTACTTAACAGTAAGGGGGGAATAACCAATTTTTTCCTAGTCAAAAGCAATGAAAAAAACGCCATCTACGAATTAAGAGATGTATTTTCTGATAACACGTCATTAGCAGAACAAAGCGATGACATTTACTTTGCCTTTGCTGATCCCAGTGAATATGAGCATCCTTCATGGCTGATGCGTATATATGCAGCGTATATCTTTTACAAATGGTTAGTGCAATTATAAATTAGATTACCTATGTATATATTTAAATATCTTAATTTTACTAAATTTTTATTTTAGTCCTTCATTGGTTGGGAAGCTAATAAAATTTTTGGGAATACGTTTCGATAACAAAGGCGAATGCAGTAAAAGCCTCGTTTGGACTGTACAGCAATCGGAAGAAGTAAATTTCGATGAGAAGACGCAATTCGTTGGCTGGGAACCCAATCGTAATAATAAAATGGGGCCACGCATCGTTTCGATGCGAGACAGCATGGACCCAACTATGTAAGTATTTTTTGCTTCTAAACTGTTCATATACTAACATAAACACTTATGTCTCTAATTCTATGTCTTATTTTTAGTTTAGTTGAAAGTGCCATAAATTTAAATTTGAAACTAATGAAATGGCGTTTAGTGCCAGACTTGGATTTGGATATTATATCGAAAACGAAATGCTTACTCTTCGGTGCAGGAACTCTCGGGTGTAATGTAGCGCGCAATTTGCTTGCTTGGGGCTTTAAGCATATAACTTTTCTGGATAGTGGCCGTGTCAGCTATTCAAATCCATTGCGACAAACGCTGTACACCCACGCAGATGCAATTGCCGGCAATGTAATGAAAGCACAAATTGCGGCCAAACGCGTTAAGGATATAAATCCAACTGCGGTGTGTATAAATACATATGTACATGTATGTATATTTTAATCCAATTATTTAATAAAATATGTTTCCCTTTTTTAGACTTCTACTGGTTACGTTATGCAAATTCCAATGCCTGGACATACTATAGGCGCCTCTATGCAGCAACAAATTGACGAAGACTTGAACACTATTAAACGCTTGGTGGAAGAGCATGATGTTAGCTTTCTACTAACTGATTCGAGAGAAAGTCGCTGGTTGCCAACACTGCTGGGGACTACTTTTCAAAAAGTTGGTCTACTTTTTTACAGTTAATGTTCATCTTGCTCTTTTTTAAAATGCTCAATTTTTGTACAGATAGTTATAAATTCAGCTTTGGGCTTCGATAGCTACTTAGTTATGCGTCATGGTGCAGGTGCACAAAATAACGAAGCTTCTGGTGATGACGCCCTTGCGATAGATATTGACGACTTGAAATGTATCAGTGGCGCCAATTTGGGTTGTTACTTTTGCAATGATGTTACAGCGCCGGGAAATGTAAGTAGAATATTTCTTTTTTTATATAATATGGAGCTTCGGTTCTTATTTTATGCTTACAGGAATGTAGTTAGTCAATAATTAACATATACGTATGTACATATAGCGCATAGGAAAGTTGAACTTATAAAATTAAAAAAATCATGCTAAGCACATTCATAATCGTGCTTGGAATACTTTTCGAAACCCGTACAAGAGGGGTCACCCATTTGCAAATGATCTACACCAGTCACATGCATATGCAAGCCATTTATGCACGTCACTTTAAATCCGACAAGATTTTGAAATACATTCGTTGTGCGATAGGCGTAGCTGCAGAAGTTATATCCATCTACAGCGGTGAGAAATTCACGTTCCGTGAATGCGATAGCAAGTTTAAACTGCTGATTAAAAACGAAGGGAAATCCACCATGGCGTTCCTCTTGTCCGAATCTAAAATACATGTGTATTTTTTAATTTATTAAAATTTTAATTTATTTTATGTACTTATTTACACTAAACTCACTCGAAGGCCTTATTCATCGAATTACGCACAACTGCTTTCTGATCAAAGCGCACACTGAAATGTAACTCCTCTCTTTTCGTATCACTTTCCAAGAATTTGATTATAAATTGTCCTTTCTTATTGTCAAAGCAGCGTGCTGTTATCACAATTAAATGTCCCGGACTAAACATTATTGGCGAATCATTGCTGAACGCTTTACCAAAGTCCGATGCTTGTATTGCCGGCCAAGGATATGGGAATACAGCGCGATGATCCATTTGTTTGATCACCTGTATTTGCTCGCATATCTCTATCGTGCGCAGTGATTTTAGTGGTAAGCGATATTTGAATGTACAGAATGGGCGATTGTTGATTGATATGTGAAACTTCTCTTCACATGCGAGTATATAAATTACAAAAAACTCTCCCATCTCAATGGGATTTTGCAGTGAATGACCTTCGATATCATGTATCTCCTCCTCACCCCATATGCCATTGATCCGTGCATTACGCACAATTATATCCTTTCGAAAGAAGCAGGAAAAACGTAAACCGATGTCTGCATTTGGATTAATCACCGATTTTGCAGTAGCCAGATTAATGTGAAATCTACAAGATTAAGCGAGGCAAAGTTTGGTAGATTTTACAAGCGGTGTGTATAGAAATATTTTTAATACAAGGAAAAAATTCAATATTTTTGTCGACTTCCAAAATAGTAGTCATTTGTTTTGTCAATATTTGTTTATGTTTGTTACCGAAAAACTTGTGGTAACTCAAGGCTGTGGTCCTATACTAATTTGGATACTTCTTCAAACTTCCGCAATCGTCAGGAGAAAATATTAATGGGTGTTGGACTAGTTGTAGTGTTGCAGGCAAATCTACTGTCACTGCTATACCGTTTCGGCGAAGGACGTAAGGCTCCTACTGAAACCAGAGGTCGATACAACCAGAATTCCGTTCTTAAACCAATCTATAATGCTAAGTGCTACGTTCGATAACCTACTCTCCTTTTCTGCATAATCTCACACCGATTCGGCTGAAAATGCAGCAGTCACTATACTTGTACATATAAATATGTACTCGTATCTTAACCGATTTTCGCTTCCCCGAGTCTACATCTGCCATGTAAAAGTGCCTCATAAATAAAGCATTTGCCATTCGCAGTCGGCGTAAAATTGTCGGTTCGGACAAACACGTAAAAATGTATAAGCGCCAAATTTTATTATTATTTTAGATTTATTATAATTAAACTGAAAGTTTTGAGCAAATTGTGTCTTGCTGGGTATATGTATATTAGTCATAGTGATAAAAAGTTTACATGAAAAAAATTATCAGTATCAAAATGACCGCTATCAATAAATGCGTCAATTAGTGGTTTTGACAAATTGAGTATCCTAAAATTAGATAAGTAACATTTTTTTATTGTTAAATTTCCAGTGCATTATCCTGTAATTATTTTCAGATAGTAAGTAAAATGTACATATGCTTGTACATACATACATATGTACACATGTAAATATGATTGTACCCACACCAAAAAAACCGACGTGTCCAGATCCAAAAGAAAATCGCAAGTTGTTTGAAACATTAAAATACACACACCTATGTACTATATGTGTATGTACAAGCCCATGTATTAGAGCTTACTGTATGTACTTTTTTGTTGCTTACCGTGAAGCTCCATCAATAGTTTTCGCCACAATTTCCAAGGCATGTCCAAATTCCAAATGGTGCGATAAGTTGCCCGCGTATTCTGTTAACATTGTTTACGAAAAGAAATAACGCGCTTTAAACAATTCGAAAAGTAATTTCAGTTTTTAATTTATACTCTACAACACAATTAATTGTGCTATAACAATATTCTCGCGCACGTTTTGCTAATTTAAAATATTTCAGCCGCACTAAACAAATGACAAAAATCAACTGTTAGCAAAAGTTAGCGATGACGATTGTTATCAGCGCACACATTCATATATTTTAAAGTATAACTTCTACGGTAAAAATAGTAGTGTTGTTTGGTTGTCAGTTGATATCACATTGTGAGTAGTCTGAGTAGTAAATCGCTTTGGAAGGTGTACATTTTGCTCTCTGATTGCTTTTTATTGTTGTAATTATTGTAGGCGCTGTATTTTATCTAATCGTTGTATAAACAACTGTTCGTTTTCTTTTAATACAGAGCCAGTGGTGGTGTTTTATTTTTTTTTTATGTTTTATTTTTTTTATTTATGCGATTATTTTGCTCTCACACACAGTTGCTTTTGCTGCGGTTAGCATTCTTCCAGCAAGTGTTCTGGCACGATTGTTGCTTCTCAACTTCTCAGCTGTTTCGAACGTTTGTACACCATACTTAATCACCTTTCACTTAGAAAATTTCCTATAAAACAGACTTTTATGTACGAGTTTTTTCGCGATTTCCCACCAGCTTTCATGTCTGATTTTCCTATTAGCTATTGCCACGAGCCACCAATAAAACTGCTGCGATCAACAGTGCGCTAGTCAAGGTGCTCTGGGCCGCAGTAAAATGCATAAACAAATTTGTTTGTGGATTTTTATTTCATCTTTACTTCTGACTATACATACATTGAATTTAATGCACGGAGATGCATGCCAAATTTGTACATAGCTACGTATGTACGTATGTATGTATAGATGTCCACTGCGTATGTGGAACCGGCCGCCCGCCAATCGCTCCAATTTAGTTTGCATTTGTATGTAGTGTGTGAACCTGTTTTCTTACGTCATATAAACAATTGTCATGTGCTCTTTTCCAAACGCAGCTCAACAATTTATTAACTCAAAATAGACTCGCAATGTTACATACATGTTATAAACATACATCCATATGAACATGTACGGCGCGTTGCCCCTCTATTTTGAAATTTTTAATTTATCATCCACTGATAAACTGTGGTACATATTTAGATATATATACAGTGACTCAAACAAATGACCACGTGTTGATTTTCTTCAAATATGGGTAATGTTTTCGAGATAAATTTTGTTTGTAATTTCTATATAAAAATATCCTCTAAGCTTTAACCAAAACCGTGTAAATCACAGTTTCAAACTTTATAAAAAATTTAAGAAAATCGACAAATTTTCATCAAATTTTCAACTTTTTATTCTGAATTTTTAGAAAATGTTTAGGTATGCAGTTTTATAGCCCATACAATTTTAGTCTAATTAAGTGCAAGTTTCAAACGGCTAAAAAATCGCGTAGATTTTTGAGAATATTTTTTTTTTTGGTGACGGACTGTGCACTTTTTTTTCATATAAGTATGAAGTTCTTATGAAATAAAACGCGGGAGACCGTCAGCAACAAAATTTCAAAATATCAACGCAAGTTTTTGTAAATTGCACTTGTTATATTAAAAAACCCGTAAAGAACAATGAAAACCCCAGTATTGGCTCCATTAAAGGTAATATTAGTGGTATTCACCAAAGCGAATACTTTTATGAGTAACTGTGCATCTTATACATTTACAAACAAACACACATATTTTATTAACTTCTTTCAATGTCAAGAAACTCAAAACATATACATAGGTACATTGTTTAATCCTTCTAATAAGAATTTAATAAATTACCATTTTTCAGTCCCTCAAGGACCGAACACTGGATCAGCAATGTACAGTTACACGGCCAGGTGTATCATGTATTGCTGCTAGCTATGCTGTCGAATTGTTGGTATCGCTGTTGCAGCATCCACTGCGCGATCGTGCGCCTGCCTATTATTGTGCCACCGGCCAGCCGAATACCAAAGTACCCGAAGGCCTATTGGGTGTCATTCCGCATTCGATACGTGGTCAGCTATGCAATTATGAAAATATTTTACCGGCAACACAAAAGTTTTCACAGTGCATTGCATGTTCAGAGGTTACCCTTAACATTTATTTTTGAATCATTAAAATAAACTCTTATTTTCAGAAAGTAATTTCCGAGTATCGTGAAAAGGGTAATGCATTTTTATTCAAAGCTTTTGAAACTGCCAAATATTTGGAAGACTTGACTGGAATCTCTGATTTTAAAGCACTGGATAGCACGGTAAGTCATATTAAGGTTGATAGACACACGAACGATTCATACAAACATACATAGTACATAACTAATTTAATCCTTTATATATCAACTCGTTTTAGATTATTGACTTCGATGACTCAGATCTGGAAATATCCGAACCTGAAGATATGTGATTTTACTAAAGAAATTATATATCCAAATGTGTCTATTTAAAAAAAAAGCGGTTTTTATTATTGTTGTGTGCTTTAAGAAACTTAGCCTAATGTTATTTATAGCAGTTGCACAATACAGAATTTTTAAACTAGATTTTTTAGCATTCACAACGACAACGATGAACGAGTTCATAATATGCATCGTTATTTAAACCTAAACGATATACGTAAACGTAAAAATTTTTCTATTTTCTATTTTTTATAAACATTACAACTATGTACTATGTGCTTTGTATTTGTATGTACACATACCCACCCGGCCAACGTACCGAGAATGCATTGCCGTTTTCACTAATTTCTTACTAGAGAAACTGATTGAAATAAGTTTCGTTTTCGCTTCTTTCTCGATAGCGTTTCGAAAACACTCCGCAAAAACTTTTGAGCGACAATTTTTCACAACCCGTTCCCAATAGTTTTATACGCCAAAGTTTTGCCAAAATTTCTAAAACGGATGCATTTTCGTGTACGTTGGTCGGGTGGGTGCCTATATATGTATGTACATATATGTACGTAAACCAAATAAATGTTTGTATGTTTATAAAAGTGAGCAATAAAGAAAATAAATGTCTACGAACAAACTTTTGTATGGGTCCACAAGTTCGTAATAGGTTTTCATCGAAGCCACGAATGCCTGGAAAGAAGTCTGACATTTCATAGATTCACACACACGAAAATGCGGTTGTATAATGTTGAATGTTATTATGGGGCAAGACTAAAATTATCTTACAAAGCCTTGTATCGTTGTTAATGCAATTTTATAAGCTAATCTCATTAACATTAACTGCATTTATTTGATTGCGAAAAATGCTTTAATCAGTACAAAAAAAAAATAATGTTGCATATCATAAAATAAATTAAAAAATTAAAAAAAAAAATGATTCTCATCTCCCCGACGGGGAATTGAACCCCGGTCTCCCGCGTGACAGGCGGGGATACTAACCACTATACTATCGAGGACGTTAATTCGTGCTTGCCAAAAGTCGTTCATACGCTAAAGCGCCTTAAAATAGTTGTGTATAAAGCTTTGAGCAAAAGCTCTGCATGTACGCAAGTATAAGCTATAAAAAGCTACATGAATAGTATGTGGATTAGGGATGTTTCGAATGTCATATTTTTAACATTCGCGAATGCAAATGCGAATTTTCGGAATGCGAATGCGTATGTTAGGAATAACATTAAAAAGCTATAATCAACTTAAGTCATCGTTTTANTTCGTGCTTGCCAAAAGTCGTTCATATGCTAAAGCGCCTTAAAATAATTGTGTATAAAGCTTTGAGCAAAAGCTCTGCATGTACGCAAGTATAAGCTATAAAAAAGCTACATGAATAGTATGTGGATTAGGGATGTTTCGAATGACATATTTTTAACAATCGCGAATGCAAATGCGAATTTTCGGAATGCGAATGCGAATGTTAGGAATAACATTAAAAAGCTATAGTCAACTTAAGTCATCGTTTTATAAATTATTAGAACATTGAACCTATGCAGTGTTTTAATCTAGTAGTCAAAGTTCAAAAGGGGCATATTNTTATTAGACATTGAACTAGTGCTTAACCTATGCAGTGTTTTAATCTAGTAGTCAAAGTTCAAAAGGGGCATATTACATTTCAGAAAAGATAATTTTGCTGCCTTTTCTACCATGAGACGATTTCTTAGAGGCTCGTTTGAAAGGCCGGCTGCGCTGAACAATTGCTCACTCTCAACGAATGAAGTAAAAAAATTAACTAAAATATGTAATTATCAATATAACTACGTCAAATATGAATAGCACTGAAATATTTTACAGGTCATCACAAAAAGAGGATAAAATGCAAACCTTAAAAAAAATAAATGCGAACACATTTGCAGGCGCCCAATTAAATCTAGATATTTCTATTTTCTATGTTGTTTTCTATGTATTTTCTAGTTAACGTTAAATTGAAACAACATTTAACATACATATGTATGTGCTTTACGCTCCGATTGTATGTTTAGTGGTCGTTAACTGCATGCTCTGCCCATAGGTACACATTCGCATTCTCAAAATATTCGTATCACTTGATGCGAATGCGAATGTCGAAGTGAATGTGTAAAATGATGCGAATCATTCGCTTAACGAATTCGAGAGCAAATATTCGCTACATCCCTGATGTGGATATCCAATTTGCTTACATATTTTTTGTCCTATGCGTATATAAATATAAAGATATCTCGAATTAAATTTAAAATGTGGTAACAGCATATAGATAGTTTTTTAATAGACTTCAAAAAAAGGAGAAGGTTGTCTATTCGTCGGAATATTTTTTTTTAAGTATGTATGTTACCGCATTACTTGGGACCACGTTAACCGATTTCGATAATTCTTTCTTTATCGAAAAGGTCGTTCCATACCAATTTGGTTTAGATCCGATAATTGGATCATAGAGAAATTAACGGTACACCTAAATTTGTATATGAGAACTGAAATCGGCTGTGTTTTTTGCTTAAAAACTACTTGTTTCTTCTCCATTTTCATATTCAACATTTTAGTACAGTCAGTCTGGCTCTACATGTACATAGGTATACCTGGAAAAAATTCCACAGAGGATAAAAATGCTACCATGATGTTCAGAAAACTATTTTAATCCAAAAAAAGAATATGTGGTATCTCTCAATTTGCCAGGAAGTATTTTTAATTACTCCTGCAAGAATTACCTCACGGTGATTTCAAAAATGAAATCATTTTTTTTTTTGTACCGGCTCCGATTTTGAAAAACCTGGGTGTTTTAGGACCGGTTTCCAATTTTGTAAATAAGCGAAGTGATCACGCCCATTTCTTTTATGATGATTATTTCAAAGATGAAATCGGCTTTTCTGTACCGGTTGCCAACTGCGAAAAATTCGAAATAAGTGTACTATATTTTTTCAGATTTTTTTGAAAACGTACTATAAATTTCTTAGAAAATGTTGGCAACACTAGCGGGATCACTCCACTTTTTACGCAATCGGTAACTGGTACTCAAAATTCGAATTTTTCAAAATTAGTAACCGGTACAAAGAAACCAATTTCAATTTATAAATAACGATACTTAAAGAAATTGGTAGAACCACTCCGCTTTTTATGAAGCTAGTAACCGGTACTAAGAATTCGGATTTTTCAATGTCAGTAACCGGAACAGAAATTCCGATTTCATTTTTGAAATAACCCTTAGCTTCTTTCAAAAATGGAAACCGGTCCTAAAAACTCGGAGCTTAACCCTTTCCTCGACCAAATCAACGGTGGTCCTCTTCACCTTCTGAACGAAGGGAGTCAGCTTACGGGTGTTACCTTTGATAGCCCGCTCTCCATCTCACAGTACAGAGCCGGCAACACCTGGGGCAGAGACAAGGAACTGTTGTTGGCAATACACAAGGTAATTGGCTGGTCTGTTTTGAACTAAATATGCTGCGCCTGTTTGGTCGCCGGGGAATAGTTGGATGCAGTAAACGAAGCTGCAAACTTGTCAGGTTACCTTCTGATGTCGTCTGAGCAACATCTCCATAGCGAGGCCCCAATTGGGCCTATAAGGAAGCATAACACATGTCAGTTCAATCCTACTCCCCCAACACTCCTCTCCCTCTGAACCGACCACGCCGGAACGGCTCGTTTTTTAGCGTTATCTACTGACTTTTTCACAAAGCTGGATTTAGAAAAAAATATTAGCTGAGGGCTTTATATGTATATTAAGGTAACGATAATGTGTGTATGAGCATGTGTATATACNGCAGTCGCTCG